TACTAAGTAGTTAAGTAAAATAAAGTAGAGATAAGAAGTAAAATAAATTATATATAACAACGTACTGTAACAGTATATATATATATATATACACACACACACACACACACACACACACACACACACACACACACACACACACACACACAAATAAAACTTTATACACTTTTATCTTAAATTATTAAACAAAAGTAATACCTTTCAAAATGGGTTTAAAAAATGGCATACAATTTTTATTAAAACAGTAGTTCACCAAGTTACAAATCAATTTGAGACAAGTTAAATCAATTTATATTTTAATAGGCATTTTTATTTTCCCTGAGCTATGTAAGTTATTATTGGCTTTGGATGTTATTTAGTTTAGATCTCTGTCTATACTATAGCACCTATGAATGTTTCTGATCAATGTCCAGATGCTTTGCACATATATGCAAGTATTTCAAAGTACAAGGTTGGTATTTCTTATAATCAGTGAACAATTTATTTGACTGCTACTCATGTATTGACTAACAACTTGCAAATAAGTGAATCACCAGCATAATTTATTGTAGGGAATGTGACAAAGCAATATATTTGGACTGATATACAGTTCAGGTCAACCTCTTTTGACTGCTTTCAGATTCAAGCCAGAAGGTATTGGAGTTATGGATATTGCAGATTCAGGGGTTTCTCTTATGTTTAAAAATTGAGTGTTGCCTATGCATAATGTTCTGAAAAGTGGATATGACAGCATATTATATTATTTTTAAATCACATATTTATGTAATTTAAAAAGATAAATTTTCTAACTTTTATTTCCTAAGAGCAACCAATGAATCTGCAGAAAAAGGCATGTTAGGTATATTTGCTCCTTTATATATTTAGACCTATTGCATGCTATGGCAGTGTAAGGTATGTTTAAACTAATTTCATTGTACCTTTTGACAGTATCCCAATGACAAAGAGAAGAACGTGCTTGCTGTAGAAACAGTAGAAAAAACGCAAAGTGAGTTTTTTATCAGTAAAATAATCTAATATAGGCTAGTATTTCTTACATGTTGTATTACATATACGATTCACCAAATATATTCTCACTAGCTGGAGTAGCCATCCATTCAATGGGTGAAATAAAAATGCATTTGTAACAAAGGATAGGAAATTGTGCTCCTGTTTTTTAAACATAATAAACGTTAAAAGTGCAATAAAAATACATAAAGCTACCAATACTGAAAAGAAAGACATACTGTTTTCAAGAATTATAGCAACAGAAGTTACATAGTCATTTTATTGCTGAGGGATATACAACATTGATAGTTTTCCAAAATTAGACATGAAATTAGAGGGGGGAGGTTAACCACCCCACCCTACCCATGACCTTCCTCATGTCATCCTGTATCACTTTGTCAAATGTGGTGCTGATTGATCTAGAAATGTAGAAACATATAACGAACAGATATACACACGCACATATTGAAGATTATTTATATAGATTTATTGTAACCTAAACCTTTATAACAAGTTTATTCAATGTAAATGGACTTACTTCTTGTTGAGGGTGAACACATTCTGTCAACAAAAACATGGCTCAAAATCTCTGAATAATCTTTATGCATTGCATAATTTCTGTCACCAATAAATCTCCACTCTCCTACTTTCCACATGACTTAGTGTACAAATGCCAGGGTATCTTACTTGCTATCTCACCGTAAATTTTATTTTTTGTTGACAGTCTTGTAGTTAAATTTGCTATGATATTCCTTTTGATTCAGCTATTTCCACCACTATTGGAATTTTTATAACTTAGTTGTGTTTTTTTTCTGAAGAAGTATGATCTTTTGTTCAGGCCTATTCACCCTTAAAGTCTGCAGTACTGGAGTTTTCTGTTACAGTGCTTTCAACCAGGTCTGATCTAATCTTTTTCTGTATACCTATCCTCCTCTTCATCTTCTTTTTTGTGTCCTCACTTTGTTTCATGACACTCCTTGTAAGGTCTTGTTGGAGGTGCTTCTTTGGCTGATACAAACTTGATTTCCTCTACTTTTTGAATTGGCATCCAGATGCCCTCTTTCTCTGCTTCAACCATGTCTCTCTTTCACCCAGGGATGTTTTCCCCTTTATCCTTGCATGTGGGATTTGTCCAGTCTATTGGCCATAGGGCTTGACTCTGATTGTGTAGCCTTTTTATTCTCCCAATTCTGTCACTCTTCAACTCTTGTCTGTCTATCACCAGAAGTGGTACATTTTTCAATGTTGGTCAATAAACCTCTCCCTTCCTCTGGGCCATCCTACTGTGACCCATCTATAGGCATTTTTTACATTTTATTGACTATCAATTGTCAGTTTACACTATTGCTAGTTACCATGCAGCTTTATTACCACCATTTTATCTTTCTCATTAATGTCAGGTTTTTCTTTTCCTGTCCTGTTTGTTTTATTCTAATCCTTTTTTCCTCACTGATCCCTTGTTCTACTCCCATGTCTGACTGGGATTTTGACATGGTTTTATATGCTATTTCTGTGCTCCATTTGAGCCATTGGCTTCATGTTCATTATACCTTCTTTCTCTTTCTTACCTGCAGTTGCAGTCACTTAGATATGTAAGCCATCAATTCTTCTTAGACTTTCTTTTGCCACACTTACTTACTCCTCTATCCAGGCCAGGCCCTTGTTCCTAAGACTTCAACTGCTTGGAAAAGTGATTATTCTTTCACATTTAGTCACACTGTTACTTCTCATTTTCACCAACCCTTGAATGAGATCTTTTAGGCTTGCTTATGAATGAATTTGTACATGTTCATTTCCAATTATCTTAATTATCTGGCTGTTTCATCTCCTGTGGGATTTCAACTCCCTCCGGTCACCGTTCTTTGATAAATCTACATACTCCCTTTTATGGGATCCTGCCAGGTGGCTGATGTCACCTCCCAGGGTATCTGCATCAGGCCAGGGATAATGGAAAGTGATTAGTTCATCTGCTCTGCTCTACCAGTGCCCACTGTTGAGGTGGAATGTTTTGTAAGACCACTAGAGGTATCCTTGTGGTATTAAAATTACTCTGTTGCCCGATACATACCATACCATTCCATGGACTATAATGGAAAAAACCAGCACCATGGAAATTATTCACCACTTCTTTGGCTCGCACTTACCAGCTTTTAAAAATAAGGTCTCATGGTCACTCATTGCATTGTCCCCAGTAAAAGAATTTTCTGGCTGACATCTGATGGGAATCTGGACACTTCTCTGAGTCTCCCTAAACATGTAAATTCTCCCCCTTCTTCAAGTGGAGTATGGGAGACCCTTGCCACTTGCTAGTTTCTTGCCACTGGAGTGGTGGGCCTTGAATAATTCCTTATTGATTGTTTACAATGCAATACAAGGAAGTAGGGTGGTGGTGGCACTGTCTGTGGAGTGCAGGTTACCCTTGAAACAGCTTGTGTGTCATTTTCCTTTATTGAGAATCTGGCTGTCTGATTAATTCAAGGTGAGACACATGATCATCATGTCCTAATTATAGTACACTTCTTGGCTCACTGACCACTTGTGCGTGGGTGCTTGGTTGGTCATGATAAAATTCCACCCACTTGGGGCTCTTTTGCATTTCCTTCTAGATAAAGAGTATACCTGGTCAAGACATGATATAGTCTCCCACAGGTGTACCCATGCCATCAGGCATCACAGTTCATGGTCTTTCTCTTTGGGTGTTTTCTGAAGGCAGCTCATCTGGGTTTAATGTTTGTACTGGCCTATCCATCATTTCAGTGTGTGATTCTAGTTATTCTGTATGAAGAAGTGAGGTATCATCTCAGAAGTTAACATTTTCCTTATCTGAAAATGTATTCCTCTCTAAACACCTTCCCACCCGTCCTCCCTACTTTCAGTGCACTTTCTTCTTGTCTCATCTAAGAATGTTACTGTGCAACAGGTTACGTCTCCCTCCTATTGGTGGAGGGCTATGATTACATGATAATGTCATCATGCATGAGCACAGTTCATGTTAGGTGGGAATTAGCTCAAGGCTAGTAGCATGCAAATCTCATAGGCAGATGTGCAAGGGATCAAGCTATTCTATGTGCAAAGATGAGTTTATATCAGAAATACATTTTCATGTAAAGGAAATGTTAACTTCTGTACTTGTATCTTTATAAAGCCTTCCTACCAGATGGCCACTGCTGTTTTTACTTCTTTTATATTACCTACTCTGACTGATCCTAATTCTTCTTGTGAAGAATGTTTTCTATGTCTGGTCAAGGATGTTTCTTTATATATTACAAGAATGGAATTTTTTTGGAAAATGATATTGGTTGTTTATACCTATGTCAATTCTTGTTCCATATTAATGAATTGGCTTGTGCAGTGAATCTGTCTTGTCTATCATGATGTAATTGTCCACATTAAGCATGTATTTTAGGTTACATCACATTACATTTACCATTGGGCTATGTCTTTGGCCTCCTGGTCTTTTCACCCTTTAGGAGAAATATAAGAGGCTGGCAGGAGGATGGATCTGCTTACTTTGTTTTTGCTAATTTACCTTCATCACATCATTGTATCTTCAATTTTAGGATTCCATTTCCCACCTGTGGTTTTCTCTAGCTTTGATGGAATCTGTATATTGTAGGATTTTGTATATCCTGCCACAAAACACTTATTTCTAACCATTTTCAGTGTGTATTCAGTCAGGAAATGCCACATTTACCTCTCTATTTGTCCTTGGAAATATTCCACCCTCTATGCTGGAGCTTCATGAGAGGATGTGTTGACCTTTGAAAGTGGACAGAAGTTGCCTCTGGTGGCTAATGATGCCTCAGCAGTTACTTTTCACACGTCTCCATGCACATCCTTGCATAATGTTATATTGGAAACAAAACAACCATTATCACTAAATGTCTTAACCTCAACTAGGTTGAGGGTTGTCTATGGTTTTTATTCTTATTAATTTACATTTTCACGTTCCCACTGCATTAGTCCCATGTTATTGAGCCCATCCTTGGAGACTGCTTGGGTCTTTCTTCAGTTATTCTTGAGTGCCCACTAATTTGGTTATTTGTATGTCATTGGCCATTTTTGATATTGATGAAGAGAAGCTACTGTCTGTGAAGTATGACTTTTCAATATCAATATATGCAGTTGGGCTTCTCTCTCAAGAACCTTTCACTCCTGAATCAGGACATAATATAGTCCTCTTACCTGTTTATACCACTACCTATGTTCTGTTTTTGGCTCCATAGATTTGTTACACTCTGAATGCTCACAAAACCCACCTCTTTTTCTAAATTAAAGGACATCATGAGCAAAGAGGTACCCTATAGAGAAAGATGCTTTCTTTCTAAGTGTCCTATAGGTCCAATTTTTTATAAGGCTGATCCACTCCATTCATTCTTCATCAAATCCAGTTCTGTAAGTTATTTTTTGGTTCTGGAATTTACTCCAACTCTGTTTGGCTGCATATTTCATGTAATCTAAATTATCTTCCTGCCTTTTATATTTTTTTTGTCATTTTCATGAGCTCCCACCTTCTTCACACTGTGGATATTCTGGCTTTCAGTATTTCAGAGATAAAAGTACATGATTTGAAATTTACACTTTTAGAATTTACTTACCTCTGAAATACCTTCCCTCCAGCTTCCACACAGCTGTATTTTCATCATGACTATAACTTTCAGTAAAATCTCAATTATGGCAGAAAGGCATAGCTTATGCTGCTTGTGCAATAAGTCACATGAGAGAGTGGAAAATTATGGGTAAGTAATAGATTGATCTGCAACGTGTCAAGGACGTTTAGAACATTTTGAGCCACATATTTTGTTGACTGCATGAGTTCAAACTGGACAAGGAAAAGCTTTCAGTATTTCAGGAGTAAGTATCTGTCTGAAATACATTTTGAAGTCAGTTGATATCTTTAATACAAAATTTTTATAATCAAATAATGTGAAATTGTAACCTAGGAGTTTGTTAGTTAAGGCTCCAGATTTTTTAAATTACTAGTTTGTAGCATACCAAAGCAAACTGTGTTATCTAACCATTAAATAACTAAAGGCAAAATTTATACATATATTTCAACTTTTCTAGATAAAGATGGAACTTTGTATATAAAGAGGATAGCTTACTGCAATAACATTGTTCCATTTGTGCTTCGGCAGGTAAGTTGGAGTAGAATAGTTGCTTAATAAAAGAACTATGACCTAACGTGTTGAATTTACCTTTTTATGTTAATGTGCAAACACTAAACTGGTTTTATTAAAACTGTAGTGAATAAAACGTATGCATGCTAGTTTTGCAACTTGCACTTATACTTGTGAAAGTACCAAGCTTCGCACGGGATATTAGGTTGATATATTCTAAATGACTATGTCAGTGTGTGTATTTTGAACCTATTGTAGCATAGAAGAAAAGTCAAACATATTTTGAACATACTTATTTTCCAGAAACATAAAAAAGCCATAAAGAAAGTAGAGTAAATTAAAAAAAATTTATTATCAAAGAACTTTATCATTGTGTTAAATATTTCACATTTATATTTGATATCACAAATTCTATCACATTTTATCAGAATCTATTACAATTTCTTACTGTTGCAGTGCTTCAGATTAGACATTATTGGTTGTTTTCCCAAAGAAATCACAGACAGACATACAGACATGCTCTATAATAATAATATTATAATTATTATAATATTGTGATTAAATAAGTGATTCCTTATATTACAACTTATAGATATAAATCACAGACATATGCATGCATATGCATCTTTTTTAAAGAAGCAATCTAGTGAAAACCACATAGAAAAGAAGTAGATATAACAACTTCTACTATATAGAAAAGCCACCGCATTTTGGCAACAATGCGTTCCAACAGCGGCTTATATATCATGTTGCTTAGCAGTAAAAGTATAACCTAATATTCTTGTTAAGAGTCTATGTGCTGAAAGTATAAAATCAAATGTATAAACTACAAAACTAAAAAAATATATTTATTGTTTGCTGTCTGTCTGTGATTTATCTCTATAATCTGTAATATAAGGAACCACTTCTTTTCTATTTGGTTTTTTGCCAGCTTGCCTCATTAAAAAGATATGCATGCACATGGATAAGTCATATTACCAAGGTGCAAACCATCAGGGTCCACTTAGTATGGGTCAAAATTTCAGGTTTTTAGGTTCTTTCCATTTGAAATTAATGCGGGTACACAGACATGCACGCATGCACACACACACACACACACACACACACACACACACACACATACGTGCATGTTTGTCTGTGTTTTCTATCCATAATATAAGGAGTCACTTCTTTTTGATTTTGATGTGGTTTTTTTGCTAGCTTGCCTCATTAAAAAGATGTACATTCATGTGTGCACATGCATGTTTCTTTTCTATGTGATTTTTTCATATAAATAGATGCACACAAACATACATGTACACACATAGGTAAGTAATAATACCCAGGTGCACACCCTCAGGGTCCACTTAGTATGGGTGCAAAATTTCAGGTTTCTAGGTTCTTTCATCTTGGAGCTATGGTGGTCACACAGACACGCACATGTACACACATGCTCGTCTGTCTGTGATTTTTCTTTGTAATATAAGGAACCATTTTGTTTCGATGTGGTTGTTTGCTATCTTGTCTCAATAAGAAAGAATGTGCTGGTAAGCATGCACGTGGATAAGATGAGTAATAATAATACCCAAGTGCACACCCTAATTGTCCATTTAGTATAGGTGCAAAATTTCAGGTTTCTTGGTTTTTTCTTCTTGGAACTATAGTGTGCACATTTCTTGTCTATGTTGTTCATCGATTAAAAAGATGTGCATGCAGGCACGTACACACATTAATAACTAATAATACCCAGGTGCACACATGCGCACGTGTCTATCTGTCTCTATGCGATTTCTATTTGTAATATAAGGAATCAGTTTTCTCTATGTGATTTTTCACTAGTTTGCCTCATTATGAAGATGCATATGTGCGAATGCATATGGATAACCAATACACAGGTGCACACCATCAGGGTACACTTAGTATTGGTGCAAAGTTTCAGGTGTCTAGGTTCATTCCACTTGGAGCTATGGTATTTTGAGGATAGCAATGTCTTTTCTTTATATTGGGTAGAAAAATACGATGACAATAAAACATAAAAATGAACAAAAAATCTAAACTGGTATTTTAACTAAAAATAATTTCTGTTTTGAAAAACATTTGCATAGTTAGAAAAGTAGATTATGAAAGAAATCATACAAGTCTGTTTTAGGTTATTCATCGATTTCAAAGATATAAACTTTTGAGCAAAAACCAAACAGTTTTTAATGGCATTATTTTTATTGAACACTTTTTACCATGAAATAGAATAATGCATCCCAGAATTAAAAAGGTATTTAATTGAGTAATTTCCGTTGTAAGCTCTTTCAATTTTATAGTGAACAAGACTTTAAAAGTCCTAAAAATAAGGATTAAAAATAAGTAAATCTCTAAACAAATGCACAAATACATTAGAACATATTTATAATAAATGTTAGAAACAGTCTTCTGGATAGCTCTGACAAATATATTCTTAGGAATTATATAAACAGAGAAAAACATTTTCAATGTGGTTTTTCACTAGCTTGCCTCATTAAAAAAGTGTGCATGCGCATAATCATGTAGATAAATAATAATACCCAGGTGCACACCTTCAGGGTCCACTTAGTATGGGTGTAAAATTTCAGGTTTCCTTCCTCTTGGAAATATGGTGGTCACATATTCTTTTTTATGTGGTTTTCCCTACCTTGCCTCATAAAAGGATGTGCACTCAAGTGGATAAGTAATAATACGCAGGGTCCACTCAGTATGTGTGCAAAATTTCAGGTTCTTTTTCCTTGGAGCTATGGTGGTCACACACACATACAGACATGCCCTTTTACTATTATAGAGATATGTGTGTGTGTGTGTGTTTGTGTGTGAATATTTCAAGGTTTCCTATAGCAAAATATTCCCATTTGTTTTATCAGTTTCTGCATAATGAAAAGAAAAAATTATTATATTAACTGTTTGTTCTCTAGCATATATTCACATAAAATTATTTGTATTTCTTTGTAGTAGTGTATTAAAATTTTAAAATTGAAACTGGTAGTTTTGCTTCTGTAATACTGTAGGCTTTTTCTTGTTGAGTTTGCTTTTATGCTGTCAACAAATATGACTCAAAATTCTGAATATCCTTTATGCATTGTAGATTTTGTATCACATACTCATAATTGTCCACTCTCCTACCTTCTAGATAACTTATTGCACATGCCTCAGAAAATCTTGCATAAGACCTGCTTTCCCTCCATAATTCAGATTTAATTGTTGTCAGTTCACATCTTATGCAGTTTTTTCTAAAGTTCATATTAAAGTTAGTAATAACTGGCATCCTACATCACTCATGACTTCTCACCCTTCTGCTTCACTTAATTTTCAATCCTTCCAAGCTGTCAAATGTAGAGCAAGCAGAGTGGGCCTTCTTGACCAAGACACTGACTTTCTTCCTTTCTCAGCAGCCCCTCCTTTCAGTTTTTTAGGAGGCAATCTGGGATCCTGTGTTCATCTGTGAAACCCTTGGCTTCAGGACTCTTGGGCTCATTTGATTCTCTAATTTTGACTTTTTATCCAATTTCATCCTTTTCCTCCACTTTTGGCTCTTCTAGTTTCATTTTCTCTTCTATCCATTCCAATTAATATTTCAAATTCAGATCAGGAATTTTCTTATGGTATAAAGAAAGGGGCTATGATAACAGTACTTCATATATTCCCAGATTGTTACTCATTGTTTCTACTGCCAAAGAATTCAGGAGATTGGAAACTGCTAATAGATCTTTCCCAACTCAGTTGTTATCTGAATATTCCTCATTTCAAGATGGAAATCATTAAAATATTACTGAAATATCTTCAGAAGGATTTTTGGATGATAAAACTGGATATCAAAGACTTGTTTAGATATCCTGACTCACCTGTCTTCTTGACATTTTCTCTGCTTATAACATGAGTGAGCAGTTTATCAGTTGATGGCCTTCCATTTTAGTCTGACTTCAATGCCTTATGTCTTCACATGTAGTAACAGCATTTGCTGGTTTCCTACATACCCTCAGTATCAACTTTCATCATTATATGGATGGTTGGCTTATTCTTGCTTAGTTGTAACTTCAGTCTTTGGATCACACTCAGTTAACCACCCAGTTAGCTTCCTCTCAGGAATGGGTTATTCTTGAGTCTGTATGTCATTTGGAACTTAACCAGTATTTCGTACGTTTGGGATTTTGTTTAAACACTTTAATGATTGCTTTTTTTGTCTCCTTTGGCTTTGCAATCCTTCTGTTTTGGTGGTGATGAATTCTATATATGAGGCAATTCCCTTGGGTCATGCTCACGAGACATCTTCAGTAGTATCTTGCCTCTTAGTGACATCAATCTTCATTATGTTATCTCAGAACCACCCTTTCTCCTTCCACTCTCAATTACTTTCAGATTTGGCTTAATCAAGAGTTTGCCACTGCAGATTCCCTTTTCACCTCTTCCATATCTGCATGTTTTCAAAAACTGCTCTCTAAATAGCTGTGGTGCTGTATTGGGGGAACCTTAGGAACCATTTTTGCAGATTAATCTTTTGGAGCATTGGGCAGTTCAACATGCATGTCATGAATTTCTATCCTTATTACACCATCATTGTGTTTTACTTCACATAAACACTTCTGCTATGGTGGCCTATATCAACAATCAGGCTGGAACTTGATTTCACACCCCTTTTTTATCTGTAGTCTCTACTTCTTTGGCTAAATTCACATTACATACATCTCTGAGCTTGTAATGTACCAGAAGTAATGAACACACTTGTGGATTCTCTTTCTAGAGATTATTGGTTTCTTCTAACAGAGTAGATCCTTCAGAGTTTCAGCAGTAATACCATCGACTAGGTTGTCTTATGATTATCGCATCTGCTACTATAGTCAATCATCTTCTTCCACTTTAGTGGTCCCCAGTTATAGTTTTTCTAGTGGTCAATATCTTGAGCCAGTCTAGGAAGAGTTTTTTTTTTATTATTCCTACACTTTCCTTCTTCTGGTATTGATCAATGTCAGTTTGTTAAATTCTTATAGTTCCACATTGGGCTTTTCAACCATGGCTTCAAATATTGTCATCTATCTCAAAGTGATGATATTCTGTGACCTCTTTAGAAACATTTATGCTGGCTTTGAACATGCATCTTTCACAATGTTCATTATCTACAGATTTATGGATGATAGTTATGTAGTCCTTTGAGCGTAGCTCAAATTTTGTCACATTCTTGCAGACATTCATTGCTTGTCACATACCAATATCCTTGGTCTGTCTTCAAGACTTTGTACTTTCAAAATTCTGTTTCTCGTCTTTCTTCTACTCCTTAGCAGATTGCCTCATTTTTCGTGCACTTGTGTAATGATCGTAGCTTGTATTTTTCTTTTATTTCAGGCTACAGTGCTGCCCTCTCTGCCAGTTGTAGATGCCACAGAAAAGATTTTTCCTACTCATTCAGGATCCTTTTTGGTTACTTTTTCCACGAGTACCTAGATGATGCACTCAGTGGGACTTGAATCTGTTTTTAAGATGTCTTGCTTTTTCTCCTTCTTCTGAACCTTCAGCAACTTGCTCACTCTACCAACTTTCCCTAGATGTATTTTCTTTTTCTCACTTCAGATATGAGACTGTTAGGCAGTATTTTTCCACTGATGCTTCTTACACTTTTATTTTATTGTTAATAAGGCTCTTTACTTACATTGTAATAGAGCTTTCTTATCAAAGACTTAGGTTGCAAGAGAAGGTGACTTTGCTTTTCTCCAGTTGTGAAACCTCCCTGACTGACCCAGATTTTCAATTAGAAGAATGTTTTCTATATCCTATCAGTGCTATTTACTGTTACATGGCACATAAACAATCTTTCAAAGGTATTAACATCAGTTATTTACCATATTGCCCCTAATTAACACCCCCATGGTATTTTTATAAATCTTACCTTATGTGACAGCAATAGTAATCCAACATATAATCCACTTTGATTTCAAAAAAACAAAAAGTACACACACTTATTAGTATTGAAATCAACAAATCACATGTGAAAAATAGAATCTGGAACTGCACAAATAGTATACACACCCCTACAGTTTACAACACCTCCAGGAGCGTTAATTAGGGGTAATAAAGTATAGATCTTGCTTTATCCACATTACAAATTGACTTGTGCAGCTAGTTCATCTTATATATCAAGTTGTATCAAAACACACCTTCAGAGTGAATTTTGCATTACACCTCTTAAGATTTGCCATTTAGCAATGTCTTTGGCTTCTTGGTTTCAGTACCCTTTAGAGAATATCTTACAGGCTGGCATGTGAACAAATCCAAATACTTTTCTTCAATTTTGCTCTCATCACGTTGTTATCTCTTCAGTTTCAGGATTCCATTTGCCACCTGTGGTTACTCTCCAAGCCAGTTGGAATTCATAGGAGTTATTCTCTATTCAATACTTCAGACATCTGTTTTTTTATAGTGACCCAAATATTTTTGTTGTGCCCATCACCTTGTATTACTAATTTCAAGGGTGTCTGGGATTGTTAAAAATACCCAAATAAAAAGTTTTTTTCTATAGGAGATCATGTATTTATATGGATTTGTTTAATAAGAATTTGTATGTTCATTAACCTGTGTGTTTGTCTTAGACTCAAATCCATCTTCTTGGTTGAGAAACCATGAGAGAGTGTTGCATTTTGGAAGTGAACAGTGTGTGGCTGATGATACCTTGCAGGATTCCTTCCCACCTCCACGTGCACATCCTTGCATAACATTCGAGATAACCGAGTTGGATGCCTGTTCTCAATAAATATTTCAGCTCGAACCAGGATGGGGATCATCTGTGATTTTTTTTTCTGTTTTGTTGGTTATGTTTCCATTGTACTGCCCTCAAATCTTTAAGCCCCATTTCTACATCTTTATCCAGTTCTCTGAGAGCACACTAATTTGGCTAATTTCATGACAGTGTTCTTAGGTCCAATTTTTATATAAGGCTTGTCCACTCCATTAATTTCTCCTCAAATCCAGTTTTTCTAATTTATCTGGTTCTAGAGTCTATTGTGACTGCATGACTACATCTTTACTGTAGTCTAGGTTATCTTCCTGCCCTGTAATTTATAGATTTATAATGATTACTGTATCATTTTCACTTTTATAGGTTACCACCACCTTTTTTTTTGTATTGTGGGTATTCTGGCATACAATATATAATATGCCAGATTTGAAATTTGTATTTTCAGAATTTTTAAATAAATGTAAAATGGGTTCTTGCACTTTGAAACCTTCTCCAACCCTCCTTCCCACAACTGGGCTATACATGGTTTAGTCATGAGTGCAACTTTTAAAAAATCTGAATTATGATGGGAAAGTAGATATAAGACTTCTTGATATATATGCAATAAGATGCATGAAAGGATGGAAAGTGAAGAATTATGAGCACATGAAGCATTCTCTGAAATTGAGTTAAAGAGAATCAGAATTTTATGTTGCAAGTTTAATGAAACCATAAGAGTAAGCGAACTCCAAGGAATGGGCTACAGTATTTGAATTCTAAAAATGAAAAATGTACATGGTTTATTATAGTAATTAACAGGTGTCCTAGTATCATGCAAATTATCCTTTTTTTCTTTTGAATATTCTTAAAATGAACTGTTTAAATAGTTAAATAATTTAAGTATTGAGAAAACTTAGTTTTCTGTATTTAGCTTAGTGATTTGAACAAGTCTGTAGTTCATGTAGAAGAACAGTGCTGGTTGAATTACTTACGACGTAGTTTACTCATCCAATCTCGCAACCTCACCTGGACAAATTATGCTCGTCTTTCTGAGGAGTCTTATTTTCAACCTGTTAGAGAAAACCCTCAATGGTATGTCTGGTTGCATTTTTTAAATTGAAAATTTCTTTTGTATCAATTAGTGGAAAATTTTAAAACTCTCAAAACGTTTAGAGTTTTGTTTAACATACGTAAAAGAGTGAAAGTACAACTAGTTCAGTAGAGCTGATCACATGATTACACATGAGAAATCAAACAATCAGTCCTTTATGCTTGATGGACGCTAACACACCGACTCTCAAAAGTGTGCGTAAATTGAGTTTTTCGAAGGCTTCATAGAGCCACTGTCAAGTATGTTGTGATATCCACTGTTAAGGGCATACTGCTGGTATTTCTATTATTATCAAGAAATAAATAATTTTGAGTTCAGATCATGTTGTTTTTATATACAGACAAGCTCACAGGTAGCTTCCTGTGATCCTGTTAGCTGCTATAACTCCAGTGTTTTAATTGGCCTAGACTGGTGATGTTACATGCACAGTAATATATTTTCAAACTATATTATTGTAAATAGACAGGTATTTGTAACTGAAAAATTAAGTCACTGTTTTAAAGTTTAATTACAATATTGTATATTAATTATTAGTAAATTCAGACTAGCAAGATGAGTTTTAGCAAATTTCATCAGGACCCAAAATACATTTAATGAACTATTTTCTGCATAACGCAAAGCTGCAAGACCTGCCATACTGATCAGAGGTCATTGTTGTTCAGTGACATGCTAAACTGTTTTGTTGTAATAAAAATGATACAATTCAGTCAGTGAAAATCAAATTTTGTAAACGAAGAATCGAGATGTGGCTTGCTAACAGAAGGGCCAACCCTTGGAGTGAGTGATGCGTACTCCTGCACATACTCCCCTTCCCCACGAGTGCTAAAATCAACATTACAATTGTCCTCCAAAAACTGTGTGTTAAAAACCCAGCTGCCATTTGTTATTCAAAATGGGTGTATCCAGTACCAAACAGAGGGATCAAATCGTTGGGTAATGGAAACAAGATGTGGTCACATAAAACTGGAAGCTACCAGACATGGTACTTACCTACTTGTAGACTTCTTTTATAGGGATTTATGTAAGAAATGTTAGAGCTCTTTGAAACTGTTATCAGCCTGCTCTCCTACAAAACACAGAAACTAATCTTGCTGTTGTACAGTGTGTAGTTAAATTGGTAAAGCAGTTCAATACATTCCAGCAGATTTTAGAGCCTGAAAGTTTAATGAGCAAGAAGTTGATGTGAAAAAAAAATACTCTGTATGAGGAGGGACTGTATATCATGTAGGTAAGTAATGAAATGAATGGCCTTTTCTCCATGCATAGATTTAGTCTCACCATTGTTTAAATAAGGTATATTATCTATGGATTTTGCATGACAGTTAGGTTGATTTATCTGTATTAGCCTGGTCGTGCATACAGTGTCAGTAATGTAGACTCAAATGGCACAAGAAATGCAAGCTCACAAGACCAGCTTCCATTTCTGAAGATGTTCAGGATGCTGTGAAATTTATGTTCAGTGAACATGGTGTGTGAAAAATGAATTTTTCATGAGGGTGGGAAGTTATGGACAAGATTAAAATTTCTTTTTGGTTTTCAAAGTTCTTGTTTGAACTGACTTGCATTGATTTTGGTTATCTTTGTTTTTTAATGTAATTTTTGTGTTACATGTTTACAAGATCAAAGTATTAGTGCATAAGGTTAAAAAATATATACTTTCTCATCTTTATACATATTGTCATTTAAATGTTTGTTCTTTTCTCATCTAGGACCTACTTTGAACAGAGTGGAACAGTAGACATTCATGGATTAGGTTACTTAGGTTGCATAATAGAGAACTTTGCTCGGAAATTTCTCCAAAAAGGAATTAAAAAAGTAAGTTTAGAATCTGCTTGAAAATTATTTAAGGAAATGATCATTATAATTTTCAATGTCAGTTAAATCAGCAAACATAATCAACAGTTATTTTAGAGATGAACTTTCTAAGTTAGAGTAAGTCACTTAGCATACAGTCAAAATATTCCAAAAGTACATAGTTCTACTTTTTGTAAAGAGGAGAAATATGGTACAATAGCATCATAACCAAATTATTGAAATCACAATGTAAGTAGAGTATTTCTAACAATAGACACTGTTTAAGTTATTATTTCACTATTAATATACTGCTTGTTGATGTAAAGTATTATTGAAGACTATTACAGAATTAAAGGATCTGGGTTAGCAGTGTGTATGGTTGGTAAGTATTACTTATGATTGGGTTTTCTGTCAGAGTCTTTGGATAATGGAAGAGTTGCTTGCTGAGAAGGCTTCAGAGTTTAGATATGCAAGTGCTGAGGAGTGATGGAACAAGACATCTACACAACTTCAGAATTTTGATCACTCCTAAGCTCATATATCCGAAAAAAGTAAAGTACAAGTTGTGATGTATAACCTGAAAGTGCCTCATTTTTTGGAGTATTTTCATCTGAAAACACCTTTACATGTTTTCAGGAAGGGAATTCTTTTTTATCTTTAATTTCACTATTTCATGGGTAATCTGTGATTTTTATTTTGGTATAATGCTTCAATAATTTTTACCCTTCGGTTTTGTTCTGTAAGAAGTAATCATACAAAATAGCCATAACAAATTATCTTAACAGTTCTTAAAGATGAATTCAACACACTGTGCCTCCAACTTTGAAAAAAAGCCATGTAAGCTTTATTTTTTATTGTGAGTAATTTATCATGGTTTAGTACCTTGCTATCAAAAGAAAGATATTTAAACAACATTTAAGTCCAATAAAATAGAATGTTAGCTGTTGTGAACTTTTTGTTTTGTACAAAGTAATTAATGTTTATGTGCCTGCCCTTCTAAGAAAGATAATGAGAAACAAGAAGTGTAATAGTTCAAAACACATATAAATAATTTCATTTTAAACAGGTATGAAGTTTGGTGTTTTAAATAATTAGCAAAATTGATTTATACCAAATTCAGATTTCTAAATTGAGTTTCCAGTAATATAAGTACCAAACTAAAAAAAATATGTTAAACTCCTTTATGTTTGTATGACAAAATTACAGTTTCATCTTATCTAGAAAATTAAAACAGCTGTATAAATAGTTGATTTAAAATAATTTAAAAATATAAGAACAGTATGTTGAATGTTGAGAAATTACTAAAAATTGATATACTCTTAAAACTGAAGTGAATAGTTAACTCATTAGGTTTTTAAGACTGATATTTGTTTTTGGGCAAGGTATTATATAAAATTAAAAAGTTAAGTAATTTCTTTATAGGTTTTAAAATATTTTGTTCATTCAGTCTCAGAACAGACTCCACCAAATAAATGTTTGTATCACCTGGTTTCATATAAAAGAAGTAAAGTTAGTAGGGTACAAGCATGTTGTTTAATACCACTGTACAAACATCTCAAGGTGTTTATGAAAGGCAGTTTGTCAGAATTTTTACAGTGAGTAGTTGCAAGTGCCATGTATTACTTATGGGAAAGAGGCAAAAGCATGAATTATTTTTATAATGTAGATAATATAAAACATGCTATTCCTGTATTTAAGACACATTCATCAAAATCATGTGCTTAAATGTTACTTTTCTGTATGTAATGCTATTTCCTAATAAAAACATGTTTGTGAAATTGCAGTGTTTTACATTTATAGGTATGTTTTAATCACATGTTCTCACTATATATTAAAACAATGAATAGTATTGGTTATTTTAAGATATGAATTGGTATAATTAGCAAATATGTTAATTTTCTTGGAAGACTATAATGCTAAAGTAAAAATTTATCATAAAATAATTTCTTAGTCATTAGACACTTTACTGTAAAATATTCAAGAGATAAAACAATGGGTAATAATAGACATTCTTCTTAGACTTAATTTCTTGCCTCTAGAAGAAGCATACTGATCATTCATAAACTATAGGGGGAAGAGTTCATTTATAAAAGCTATTACTCAAGAACTGGAGCTTGTTACCTCTATCGGACATTTATTTTACTTGTATAATTTCAAAAATTGAAGGAGCAACTCATGTTGATAACTTAAACTTGCTACAGTAATGCTTCATATAAAACATACCAGGACATTTAGCAAAGTAAGGATGGTAAAGTTTAACAAATTTGCTTCTAGCAAAAAATCAACTATTTTTGGCTATGAATAACAGAAAATTAAGTAACATTATTTGAAATATAGCTGCGAGTTACTACAAAACAATACACACACATCCTATTACAGTTAGATATGACTTATGGGATTCCAGATTAATTACTGAAAAAATGTTATAAGACAAAGTAACTAATTTTTCTACACCTCATTTCTGTTCAGGGCACTAATACTTAAAGCACATAAAACATTTGCAGTTGTTAACAGTTTCTTTGAAAGAAATACAAAGACAAGGGTTTAAAAAGTAAAAATCATCTCGGGTTTACCTACATATTCAGCTCCAAAATGTAAACAACCTTTTTTTCTGTACATAAGAGTGAATAATGCATGCCATTTGTGAACCATTGAAACACTTGGGGAAGATTGTTAGTAAATTACAACAAGAAAACCCAATACTTGTTAAGATTAAGTTCTATATGAATAGTCCAGACCATAATACTACTATTATATATGTATTTAATTTTAAATCATTTGACAAGTCTGTTTAACATTTTTTGCATTCAAAGGTTTATTTCAACTAGCAAAACTCTTGGCACTTGTTTGAGTAAGACTTATAATCCAGGATATTTAAAATAAAATATGCTCTTATAAGTTAGTGTGCAGGCTCAAATAAACTTTGTTCTAACAATAGGCATGCAGTAATCATGTAATAATATTTTTTTGTTTAATGCTCAAATATGTATAAAGCTACAACACAGATAATTTGGTAGGATCTTTTCTCCATTATACAGTAGTGCCTGCTATGGAGATGAATCTTTGTCTACAGATATTCAATTTTTGGCCAAAAGATGTACACTCTCAATTGACAGTGGTACCTTTTTTTTGTTGACTATTCTATGGAATATCTACCTATAATGAAGGTTAATGATAAACGATGAGATGGTATTTGATTTTCCCTTCCTAATGATACTAGTTATACATATGTACCAAAGAACAGAACTTATTCAAAAGTTACCATCCTCCTCAGACCACATAGATAGTCTGCTGTAGTTATTTATTTATTTTTTGATTTAGAGTATAAAGTTACAGCTTAGCACAATTTATTGGATTTTTTTTATCACCTTTCTAAAGGTACCTTGTGTAGAGCTGTTTATGTTAACATTACCAAATATTACCCCAACAGTCATCCACTCTCTTACGTGTACTGTCCAAAATTAATAGACAGTATTCAAAATTGAAAAAACTTTCCATTTTGTAACTTCCACTCTCCTCTAAACTAGAAAAAAATAGTATTAAATTTTATTTAGCTTTGTCATGGACCAGTGATAAAAATTTAGAACTAAGTTAGTGATTCCAACTAACTAAAATATTTTTTGAATGATGTAGATATATATATATATATTCAATTAACTATAATGCTGATCCAAAGTAAATCAACATACTACATTGGGACAAAAAAGTTGATGTTCATTTTACATGTTTATCTATCATAGCTCATTGTAGTCTTCCAAAATTCTGAAGACTTTTCTTATAGAACAAGAGAGGATATTTGTTGACATTTATAAACTTAAGATGCCTTTATATAACTATGATTAAAGAGGTAGTATATTTTCTGTAGTGACATCAGTATCATTCATAGTAACTCGCTTGATGTACTTAGGACTTACATACTTGTAATAGGAACCAATAAAGTAATTTAATGAAATATCCATTGGATCAGAAGAACGATTCTTGTTTGTAAGTAAACTTACAGCCACACAAGTTGGCCTTCCTGCACAAACTGGCTAATTGATGCCGAAGTGCATGTGGCCCACAACAAAACACACCCACGTCTGTCCTGTGGAGAGAAGATAAATCACACAAGTGGTATATCTTTATGTTATGTATGTAGACATCATTTTCACACAATTTGTTTGGCTTTGAAATCTACTAAATGTTATTAAATACAGCTATAATTGTAAAAGCATTTCTCTTATTGGTTGTTGAATGTTTAAGTAGTACTATTAGTAAATTTTAATTTTTGTTTAATACATATGCATTACATTTCGCTATTAGTAACTCAGTGCAGTACAACATAGGCAACTGCTGGTATGAGTGAGAATTGCATAATTTATATTATTTAATAACTTACCCTTTATACAAATCTATCCATTCTCTGAACAAACTGTACCAGTCAGGATGACCTTGACAAACTTTGTGTACCAGATTAGGATATTTTCCTAAAAGGTTCTGTGCAAATTAAAATAATTAGTCAAAAAAGTTTTAGCTTCAGGGATGGCAAGACATACTGCAAACAAATGTGGACTGTAATAGATATAATCAATGTTTTCATCTCTACTGAGCAATTCTGAGACACATAAGTAAAGCATCAAGAGAATTATTGAACTTCTGACAAGGTATTTTACTTCCGCTTACATACTTAGCTATCCTCATTCAGTGCTGCCCTCTATTTGGCAAAAACTTTTCGTACATCACAAGCCTTTTATTCCTACGTACCCTCTCAGTTCACATGGTTTAACTGATTCACACATACAAGTTATCATATGAGAAACTTCCACCAGTAGACATGCCTCACACACATGACTCATGTGACTCCCTCTGTGCTATTCTATCTAACTATCACTTCTCGTTTGGCAGTACTTGTATTAATACATTTTCTTTAGTGCTCTCTCAAATTCAGTTTGAATTTTTGTAGTTTTTATTTCTAGTTTACAACCTCTAATTTCTATTTTAATATTTCATAGTGGAATTATTTCACTTTTGAAACCCAGTTACGGAAATTAATTTTCAGCGTTTGTCTTTGTTTACCAGCACAGTTGTGTTTGGTTTACATTATGAATTCTGAAATGAATGTTCCATGTCAGAGGTTGTACTTTCTACCCACACATTTACTCAGGCTTCAAGTGGGGGTAACTTGACTTTGGAATTATTGGAAATTATTCATCGAAAGATTGATCGTTATTTGATGATGATGGTTTTGACAGCTTTTTTCCTCCACCTGAATTTGCTATATCTTCTCTGGTTACTCCTGTGGGTTCTCTTAGGCCTAATATGGCCTTTTTGGATATGATTTCACAGGTATGTTCTGTTTTATCCCTTTCCCCGATTTCCTATATTCCTCTACCTTCCTTATTACATGATACACCTTCCTCTGAGTATTTTGTACTTCCACCCTCTTCTGATATTGGGGTTCATGCTGAAAATTTTATATCTCAGTTATGTGATGGTGCAAGCATGCCTCTCCATCTGTGGGCTGTGGACCAGTTTGCTCTGGCCTACCATCCAGCCAATTTTCCATTACTGGATTTGCAACACTTGGAAACCATTTTACTCATTTGGGGGGGCAGATTTTGATTGTCCTGTTCTTTTTTCCTATGCGTAATTTTATCACCTTTCTGTTACCCTCACGCCTATCCTACAGTATTCGTGCACCATCCATCTTCTCTCTGAGGCGATCCACCATGATCCTGAAGGTTTCTTGGGAGATACATTTGCCCTAATTACCTCCTTGTTGGCACATTTGTCGACTTTGGCTCTTTCTTTACATACACGGTTCCTCTGTTGTTGGGATCTTTTGGGGAAAGATGCAGTTTTGTCCCACGTTCATTTACCATTTTTTCTAGACTTACGCCTCACTCCTTTTCTCCATTAGTCGATCTTTGGAGACCTTCTGGCAACTTTGGAATCACGGGTGGAATCTGAGAGACAGCAGTCGACTCTTTCCTCAATGGTTGATTGTTTATCTATCACAAAGCATTGACAATCCCCTATATCTGTTCCCTGTCCTACTCCTTCCCAACCCTTACCTGTTCCATAAGGGGATCTGCCTCTCATCGTTTTGTTCAAGGATGAGTGCCACTTCACCAACAGTATCGGGTTTCAGTCTGGTGGGGGCATGTTTATCCCAGTTTGTTCATCTATGACAAGATTTTGCAAGGGATCTATGGTTCTATCAGAGGGACTTGTCATCTATTTCCTCTCCCCTCCTCTGTTCCCTTGGGATCCTACCACATGTCAGCATCTGTAAGAGGCAGTACAAGATCTTCTCTCTCAACATGCCATCAAACCCTTCTCTAAGGTTTTATTCCAGGCTGTTTGTGGTCCCCAATAAAACCAAAGACTGACAGCCTGTGATAGATCTGTCATGCCTCAATCCCTTCTTGGTGCTACCTTGTTTTATCATAGAATCATTTCTCACTCTGAGATGGGCTTTTTCTCTGGGTTTATGTATGACCAAGGTTGATGTCTTGAATGCTTATCTTAATACTCCCATATCAAGACACTACCTTTGGTTTGTTCATCACAGGGTGGTTTATCAATTTTGCGCTCTTCTTTTCAGGCTTGCTACAGCTCCATATGTCTTCTATCAGGTGGTTAAGGCTTTTGCTGAACTTATGCACACTCAAGAATTTGCTTCAACTATTACATGAATGACTGGCTTTTCTTGGCTCATTCTAAACTAGAGTCCACCCAACACACTCGTCTGCTTCTTTCAGAGTTGGTTGATCATGATATAGAAATCCTTTCTTGCTCCTACCCAATTTCTTATCCATTTGGGTTTTTTGTTCAACACTTAACTCATTCGGCCCCAACCTTATCCTTTTCGACTCTGTTCAGTGGAGCTGGCAGTCATCAATGCCCTTACTTTCCCTTTCTTATTGGTTACAAGGTTTTATCTCTTTTTGGGGATGTGGTCCTCTATGGTAGCACTTATCCTCATGGGTCATGCTCATGTGAGATCCCTACAGGGGACTCTTCATGATCAATGGAACCTTTTGTGGGATCCCTTGGATGTTCCTCTTACCCTTCTTCCTTTCCTTGTTGTTGATTTGCATTGGTGGCTGGACAAGACTCACACTTAGGGGGGAGTTCTGCTTCCTCCCTCTCATCTAGATTTACATCTTTTCATAGATGCTTCATGGCTGGGGGCATGGATCAAGCACCAAGTTGCTTCAGGTCTATGTTCTATGACAGAGAGGTCTTACCATATCAATATCCTAGAGCTGCTTGCTGTCCAGTGGGCTTTGGATCATTTTCTTCCTCTTGCACTCAATCATGATCCATACAGACAATTCTATGGTTGTGGCATACATCAATCACCAAGGAGGCATCTGTTCTCGAACATTGGATCTCCTGTTTTGGGCCCACTCACAAGATTTTCATCTCTTGGTATATGTTTTGGGTGCTTTCAACCTGATTGTGGATCGTCTTTCTGCCCTGATGAAATTTATTAACAGAGTGGTCTTTAGATCCTCAGGTTTTCCAATGGTTGTGCACTCAGGTGGGTACCCTGCACCTGGATGCATTTGACACTATCCACAATACCAAGTTACCTCAGTTTTGGTCTCCAGTACCTCATACACTTGCTCATACAATGCACTCAGTCAGGATTGGACAGACAAATTCCTTTGTTTATCCTCCTATCTGCCTTCTTCCCAGGGTGATTTCTATCATCTACTCTACTATACTCTGTGTCAGGTCCTTCTGGTTGCACCATACTGACCAGCTCAGCTTTGGTTTCCATGGCTGCTTCAGATCCAATCTACTCCACCACTGCCTCAGTCCCAGGTAGTTGAACCCACCATTCCTTCTCTTCGTTTTCACATCTGGTCCTTGGTGAAAAAATCCAGTTTATCACAGCAAGTAGCTTCATTGTTGGCACATTTTGTTTGACCTTCTTCCATGGAGGTTTATCAACATAAGTGGAATGTCTTCTACCGTTGGTCTTTGGGCCAGGAGTTCTCCCCTGCTTGTCCTACTTGTCCTGTTATGACAATTTTCTTCACTTGGTTATTTGATCAGAGGACTTTGGTCTCCTCAATCATGGGTTATGGGGCGGCCTTATCCCATACCTAGTCCCTCCTGTTACATTCCTTCTGGATTAGTTGCCCTCCATGGCATGCCACTCTTCCAGATTGGAATGTTAATGTAGTGCTTCATTGCCTCACTTTACCTCTGTTTGAAACTTTTGTCTTCTTGTTCCATGTTTCATTTATCCCTTGAAGTGTATTTCCTTCTCATTTTGACCTTTTTATGTCATTAGTCAGATTTGTTTGCCATCAACGTTTCACGTACTCTGTATTATTCCTCCTATCTTCTCCTTTACCCAGATTGATCCTTCCTTCCAAAAAAATTTGGCAGCTTGGAGGGGGAAGTAGGTAATTCCTCCTTCTCTTCAATTTTTCACCTCTATTCCCAGTATGATCTGAATGGATTGCTAGGTCCTGTTCATGCTCTTCATTGTTATATCGCACGCATGGCTTCCTTCCATTATAACTGTTCCTGTACATTCATCCCTGGGCAACTATCCTCTGTTCATATTCTATCTCCTTCCACCCTTCCAGTTGAGTTTGGCTTTAATTTAATTGGCTTATTCTTCCTATATCCTTCTTCCTATCAGTTATTCTGGTTGTTTGCCCACCTGATTAGGCACCTCACTTTTCCTCTGGTGTCTCATCCGCATCGTCCATTGAAGAAAATTCTTAAAGTGGTTATATGGACTACTCTGCATACTTTCATCTCTCAGTATCTGCAGTTTGTTGCTGTTTCTTCCACCTGTTTCCATTCTTCAGACCTTGGTGCAACTATACCTGGGTCAGTTTTCATTTTTTTCCTTATTTATCTTTTTCAAGGGCCTATCCCATATTTTGATCTGGATCCCACTCTGCGGCAAGTGATGCCTGGCCATGTATACTTCACTTACTTAGGTTGGTACTCAAATGTCCGCTGAAAGGCCATGTTGATTTTATTTTTCTTCCAAGGCCATTAAGCCCCTCAGTGGCACAAAGGTATGTCTGTGGACTTGCAACGCTAAAAACCGGGTTTCGATACCAGTGGTGGGCAGAGCACAGATAGCCGATAGTAGCTTTGTGCATAACTACAAACAAACAAACAAATCCATGGCCATCAAATGCACACTGTGCTGTAATATAGCAGTGATGGGGTGTTCCGCATTTTTTGCTTGTAGGTTATTCCTCACAATATATTTGCTTCTTAAGTATGGCCATTCCGGACTGTACTCACCCATGGACTTCCTGGGTAAAGCAGAAAGGGACAGTTGCCCATCCCTGCCATTCCTTAGATTGAATAGATCAGGTTTAGTCTGCTTTTCAGTATAGGGTTTCCTGGTCACCCATTGCACTGTCTCCGGTATGAATGTTCCTATGGACTCTCCACTGCATTTACTCCCCATTTCTTCCAGTGGAATAAGAGAGTCCTTACCAGTTTCCAGATCCAAGCTGCTGGGGTGGTGGACCATGGAGATTTCCTCCTGAACATGAAATATACAATATAAAAATAATGCATCCATTCATTTGAGAGTATGGAGATGATGTTCTGCTGGTGTAGACATAATTGGGATCTCTCATCCTACCCCTGCCTGAATTTTAGTTCCCAGCCATTGAGTTCGGGATGTAGAGCTGAACCGTTCACCATATATTATCACACAAATAATATGATTGGGATCCCTTATCCTACCTCTATTTTGATGTCAATTCCCAGCAGTTGAGTTTGGGATTTAGAAGTGAACCACTCAACAGGATGTACTCGCATATGTAGTATGCTGGCATTAAGGCAGTTCACCCAATCGATTGGGATCCCTCATCCTACCCCTGCATGGATGTTGGTTCCCAGAAGTTGAGTTTGGGACTTAGAGATGAATCAATCAATATATGTCCTCACATGCGTTGTGGGTCACAATGGGTTCACTTGGTCATTGTTCTTCTTCCTCCTCTGTCTATAGGCCAACGATTGTACTGTGTTGGGGTAACTGGTTTAGTATATTTGATTTGAGAGGGATATATCTGTATCTCATTCTGATCATATGTTCCCTGTTCATTGATTGGTGATGATAATTCTCCCTCCCGTTGGCTGGAACCTAAGCTGAAGACAGTATGATGCTTGTTCTACCCCCGCATGGATATCAGTTCCTGGCTAGAGAATTTTGGACACAGATGACTTGCCACGTATGGTCTGTTGCACCCTAGCTATTCAGACTTTGGGGCACATCCCTTTTTTTACCCATTTTTGTATGTCCGACTCACTCTCACCTTTTCCATGTCTGGGTTTCGAGTATATCTGGTACAGAAGTGGTGAGGTCTTCCACATATCATCCTCTTCTTTGAGGGTTCCCGCTTTGGGGTTGTCCTTTGGACACTTTTGGAGGATGCTTCTCTTTTTCTCCCTTGCACTGTTAATTCCACCTATTCACTGTGGGATTCTAGCTATGTATGTGAGCAGAACTAACGTGCCTTGTTGGATGTTAGAATTTTCCTCACTGAAAATATATTTCCGACAAGTATTTCCACTCACACTTCCTACCATTCCTTCCCCACTGTCTACCAGTGCTTAGTTTTTTGCCTAAACTCTAAGTGATGGTTAGGTAGAATAGCAAAGAGGGAATCACGTGTATGAGGCACGTCTATTGGTGGAGGGTTGTTGCATAATGTTATTTCACTCAATTCACATTCTTATTACAAAATCAAATAGTTGAGCACTAAAACCATCACCGACAATATTGATACTGTGGTTACTTGCCCCCCCCCCCTTCTAGCGTTTTAACAAGTCAACTTTGTTTATAAACTTGTTAACAGCCCCTTCAGTATTCTGAATTTGTCATCCATGTTTTTACATTGTTAAGAGAATTATCAAACTCAACAACATGTTGAATTTGTAAACAAAATTTTAGAAAATTACACAACAAAGTTATTCAAAGCTTATATAAGAACATGCGTACTGCATGCAGATTTCCTATAAATATTAACATGTAACATTTTTATTAGCATAAAACAACAAACAATACTCTGAAAAATGATTTTAGTGTTGTTGCATTATATGAAACTTATGATTTAAAAATTTTGAAGTAGAAAAAGGGTTTTGTTGAACTTGAACAAGACATACACAGAAATTTACATGGATCTGTAAGAATTACTCTTACACTTATACATATAATTGTTTTTGTATATTTATTTTCTGCTTTATATTTATGCACAATGAACGGGCAGTCATTTGTTTTCCCAAATGATATTCTGATTGTAGAAAGTGTCAAAATTCAATAGAATTGTAGTATTTCAAGCCACAGTCTAAAACAAAAAAATTGTTTAATTTATATTGGAAAAATTCTTTACAAAGCTTTCTTGTAAGCAGCATTTTCAATATTTGCACCTTCAGGGACATACATTTTTAACCAAACCAATGATCATACCCTATAGAGTTAATGACCTGGAATAGAAAAATTGGCTCAGTTTAGTACAACCCAGACATCCACTTTCCTAAATTAGATTATTGTATGTCTTACTATTAGTCCACAGAAAGAAATAAGTTTAAGGGTGAAACCTCCACAAACATTGTCTTAAAATTCAATAACTTGAATAAAGATTATGATTAGAATAAAATGAGATTTCATTATAATTAAGATGATTATGTAACTAGAGCACATGTAGCAAGTGATTGTGTTTACAAAGTGTTGTGCACATGCAACATTTCTTATGTTACTATGTTTGAGGTAACTTCAAGCTAAATCCTAAATCAAACTAGGATAACTTAATTTTAGTTACCCCAACTTCCCAGATAATACTAAACTAACTTCAGCACTATACAAATAATTCCTTATGTTAAGCTGCTGGGTGCAAGTTAACCCTATAGTCAAACTCTGGATTTTGGAGCTAGTAAGTCAGGCTCAAATTTGTGCAGTAATACAAAATATTCCTTTCACTTTCAACAGTTGGTGCATTATAAGATTTGTAGTCAACTCAGTAGCCGGGCACTGGTAGAGTAGAATATTCGGTGCTCTACCAGTGGAAGTGGGTTTTCTCGGGGTACTCCCGTTTCCCCCACAACAAAATTTTTTCCTTATGCTTTGGATCCTGTGAACCCAGCCCTGAAAAGGACCGTCCCACGTTTAAAGCAAATGTAAATGGAACCCACTAATGTGAATCAAAATAATAATCAGCAATAAATTGGTAGCCAACTATCAGTATTTAACCTTAGTTTTATCTCAATCTATAACGGACGTACTGAAGCTGCATCTCCCTGCTCTGCTTGGCGAGCGACCAACGCCACGTGACCATCGAACGATCCTGTGCGGCGGTAGGAACGACATAAAGAAAAAAAGAAAACAACTCAATGAAGCTCTCCGTCTTACTCTGCTTAGCCACGTCTCCCATCAGCTTTTCCCTCAGCGCGTGAGAATCTCATTTTGAAAAATATTAGTGATAAACTTCTTTACGTAAACGTTTAAACCGTAAAAGCCTCGGCCACGTATACCTAGTTATGTAGTGGGGTGAAGAGAAACAAATGTTTCTGACCGCCCCTGGTTATATTTCATTCCCCTCCGGAGAATGAGATATATTGGTAACCTAAATACCTACCAAGCCTAAAAGTAAAAAAGTAGCATGGGTGATAGAATGCTGCTGACTGGCTGTCTTCAAAATAGGGACAGTAACGGACAGCGCTAGTAGGTTTGCTATAAATAAACTATTAGAGCATCTAACACTTTCTTCTCACCTGCATTTGTTCTTTACTGTGTTCATGTGTGAGGTATAGCTGAATGTCTATGAAATCTGGACGATTCTCTTCCCACATCTGTTACACAAGAGCAAAATATGTAATGTACAGTATGAACTCACAGGACCAAAAAACAAATAAAAGCTGTTTTTTTCTAAGAACAATACTATTGTTGTATATTCTCTTTGAAAAAACCTCTGATTACATAAATTACAAATGATGGATTAATTAAGTATTTTTTTCTCAGTAGTTTGGTTTTGTTTCATTGTTTACACACACACACAACTAGGTATGACTACAAGCCGTATAAGGTAAATATTAACATATCGATTGTCCATTCAGAGCCATAGAGGGATGAAATTAATACAACTTGTTAGGAAAATAAAATAGTTTCTCCTTATAACTTTTTTTTTATTAGCATTTTAATACAAAACAGGAAAATTAAAAGACTACAGCTTGGTGAATAAATACCTTTTCAGTTTGTATGTTTTAGTTTAGCCCTATATTAAAGACAAATTACTTACATACAAAAATTAACATACATTGTAACTATTAACATTGAATTATTATATATATATACGGTTTTTGTTAATGAAAGTTCCTTTCTGAAGTATAAAATTATGTTCATAATACATATAGTTTATACACACTTTTGATAACAAACCCATTGGAATGAAAGGCAAACAGAAAGTAGGATATAGGTGATCATTCCCTCTTTTCAATTAAAATAATACAACAAGATAAATAAAAATTGGGAATTTAAAAACCTATAAAAAGGGATCATAAGAAAGTAAGGAAACAAGGCTGGAGATACTGTAGATATTATTTACTCAAACTACAAACCCCTATTTTGGCTCCATGCTGTTACCTAGAGTTACATTTAGTGAAGTCAAAATAAGGATT